TATATATATATATATATATATATATATATTTTAATTTTTTTCCCATAGAGCACATTCATATTCTTCCTAGTCCTGGGTCTTAATACTGGCACCACAATGGAAATAGTCCAGTTCTCTGATTGGGTTCCTGCTCACCAATTTGACAATAGGGGGAAGATTAAATTAACTTGGAGATCCCAAGCATGGTGGTGCATGCCTCTAATCCCAGCACTCTGGCAGGCAGTGACAGTTGGATCTCTGTGAGTTCAAGGCCAGCCTGGTCTACAAACCGAGCACAGCAGTGTCAGTGCTACATGGAGAAAAGCAAACAAACAAACAAAGAAGCCAATATTGGTCTGCAGAGTGCTCCATGGTTAATAAACTTCCAGGGGCCCAAGGAGTAATTCCCAGCATTCACTGGCTTGCTACTGTATCTAAAGTTCCATTGAAGTTAACACCCTCTTCCTACCTCTGTGGTTGCCAGTCTTGCATGTGGTGGACAGACATACATTCAGGAAAACATCCATATATATTACAGTGAATAAATAAACATACAAATAAGGCAAATACCAAAATGATTGTGATTGTCAACATTTACAATCCTAACACTTAAGTGAATGAAGAAAACAAGATCACGAGTTTGATGTCTACCTGGATTACAAAACAAGTTGGTGACTTTCCTTGGCTACCCAGAAACAGTGTCAAAAACAAAACAGGGCAGGGAACATGGCTCAGGGGATAAGAATGCTTGCCACACTAACATAATGAAAGACCCCCGTCTCACCCTAAGTTAGACATAGCTAATGCCATTTTGCGGGACACCACTGTTTTGAGAATCTCTGTAGGCTAGGTGGGAAACTGAAAAATTACTGAGAAACCCAGCTGTGTCATGTCTTTGGTCAGGCTGCCCCAGTCGAGCTAAAAACATTTTGTGTTAATCACCCTCATGGGATATCTGTGCGATTGTTCCAGTTGAGATAGGGGTCCTAAGGAAAGCCACAGGTGGCGGGCCAAGTTAATGGGGTCATCATGACCGTCTCGACCACCCAGTTCCTGGAATTCTGGTGTCCCTGCCAAACTCTGACTCAAACTGTGGTCTCATGTAAATGTACCAATCAGCCTCCTGTAACCATGCCTCTCGCTTCTGTACCCGTGCTTCTGCTCTAAAACCCTATAAAAACCCCAGCTTTCCACCCAGGGGGCGCACAAGTCCTCCTAGTGACTCTGCTGCCCCGGGTACCCGTGTATCAAAATAAAAGCCTCTTGCTGTTTGCAGCCAAACATCTGGACTCGCTGATCCTTGGGAGTGGGGGTCTCTCTGACGGAAGATTCCCCTCGGGGGTCTTTCATGTGGGGGCTCGTCCGGGATTTGAGACCCCTACCCAGGGACCACTGATCCTATTCAGGAGGTAAGATTGCTGGCAGAACTTGTTTGTCTGTGTGTCAGTTTTTTTCTGTCTTAAGTGTTTGCATCCGAATCTGAGGCTTGGCCAAGTCATCCGTATTAGAGCGGAAGCCAGAAGGAGCCGACGGGCTCGGACTTCACTTCCGTACCCCTGGGAGATATCCCAGGGGGTCTGGGGGTGGCTAAGTTTTGGCTCCCGTTTGTTGTGAGGGTTCGAGTCCCTTTTCTGGTAGGGAGCCGATTTTTAGGCTCCCGTCTGTTTGGAAGCACGAGCCGACTCGGACTTCTCGGGGCTTCGCCCCTGTTCGAGGGCTACGTGTTTCATCTGGGAGATGGAGGAACCGGACCTCCAGCGCAGTCTCCATCTGAATTTTTGCTTTCAGTTTTTCGTCGCTCTCGTGCCGCGCGGCTTGTGTTGTGTTCTGTCTGTCTAATTTCTGTAGTAAGTGTAATAAGTGTTTTCTATCTATTTGAAAATATGGGACAAACTGTCACCACTCCCAAAAGTTTAACTTTACAGCACTTCAAGGAAGTCCATGACATCGCCCACAACCTCTCGGTGGAAGTGCGAAAAGGAAAGTGGGACACCTTTTGTTCATCTGAGTGGCCAACCTTTGATGTGGGCTGGCCACTAGATGGCACCTTTAACCTAGGAGTTATTTTACAGGTGAAAGCTAAAGTCATGGACCCTGGACCCCATGGACATCCTGACCAGGTTCCCTATATCATCACATGGGAATCTCTGGTCAGAAATCCCCCACCATGGGTAAAGCCTTTCCTTCCCCCTTCCCTGAAACCCACCCCGTCTGCCCCCTCCCTTCCTCCTCCGCTGGTTCCAACCCCGACTAACTCTACTCTTTACCCGGTCCTCACGAAACCGGCTCCAGAAGAGACCTCTGGGCATAAGAAAACACCCCCAGTACTGCCAGCAGACGATGGCCCCCTTTTGGATCTTTTGACTGAACAGCCCCCTCCTTACAGAAACCCAGACCCTGTTGGGGAACCAGAGGGAGCGGCCACCAGACGGGAACCCCAGGGAGAATCCACCTCGTCCCCGGTGGCAGGAAGATTGAGGGGGCGTTGGGAAGTCCCTCCCGATCCCTCCTCCCAGGCCCTTCCATTGCGAACGGGGCCTGACCACCAACTCCAGTACTGGCCCTTCTCCGCGTCTGACTTATACAATTGGAAAAATAATAACCCTCCTTTCTCTAAAGACCATTCTAGGCTCACAGCACTGATCGAGTCTATTCTAGTGACCCATCAGCCTACTTGGGACAATTGCCAGCAGTTGCTCCAAACCCTGTTAACCACCGAAGAAAAGCAGCGGGTCATCCTGGAAGCCTGCAAAAATGTCCCAGGGGATGACAGGCAGCCCACACAATTACCGCAACAGATTGATACTGCCTTCCCCCTGGAGCGACCCACCTGGGACTTTACTACTGCACACGGTAGGGAACACCTACGTCTCTATCGCCAGTTGCTCATAGCGGGTCTCCGTGGGGCTGCAAGGCGCCCAACTAATTTGGCTCAGGTTAAGTTAGTGACCCAGAAACCTGAGGTATCCCCCTCTGCTTTCCTAGAATGACTTAAGGAGGCATACCGTATATACACTCCCTATAATCCAGAAGACCCAGGTCAAGCAACCAATGTAGCCATGTCTTTCATCTGGCAGTCTGCCCCGGATATTAGAAAGAAGTTAGAAAGGCTTGAAAACTTAAGAGAGAGTACAGTACAGGATTTATTAAAGGAGGCAGAGTGGATTTTTAATAAGAGAGAAACACAGGAAGAAAGAGATGAAAGGTTAAGGAAAGAAGCAGAGGAAAGAGAGAAAGTGAGAGAACGTAAGAGAAATAGGGAATTTAGCAAGTTACTGGCCACAGTAGTGACAGGACAGAGACAGAGTAGGAAGGGCCTGGGAGACCGCTAGGGTCCACGAGTAGACAAAGACCAATGCACCTACTGCAAGGAGAAAGGGCATTGGGTCCAAGACTGCCCAAAGAGACCAAAAGGGCCACGGAAGCCTAAGCCCCAGGCCACCCTGTTAAACCTGGAGGATTAGGGGAGTCAGGGTCAGGAGCCCCCCCCTGAACCCAGGATAACTCTTAATGTGGGGGGGCAACCCGTTACCTTCCTGGTGGACACCGGAGCCCAGCATTCGGTACT